TGTGATGTACCACGCCGTCTTCGCCTTGGCTTAGGGCTTCAGGGCTTTTTGGGGTTTGGAACGAGAGAACAGAAAATGGCCAGCTGCACATCATGCATGCAAGAGGCTTTTCCTTCGTCCGAAAGCTTCTGTTCATAGGAAGTACCGCCATGCGCGATCATGATGCATCATCACCGCCGAACCAACACTGCTAGCTCTTCTTGCCTTTAAGTGCATTCATCACGACGGATGAGAGCCTTTTGGAGTGATGCCAACTCTTTAGGTCTAGGCACCTATGCTTGATGCATCAGCGTTGCACAACGTGTCCCTTCTAGAGGTCCCGTGCCCTCAACTGCTGGGCCACTGCATCGTCAAGAATGCCCATGTCGCCTCCATAGTTGACCTTCAGGTCGTGGTACAAGTGGTCTTCCCACTGAGTCAAACTCTCTTTGAGCGTCTCAAAGAACCAGAGCAGGCGTTGCAGCACCGGGTGGCGGAACAACATGGGGTGAGAGTCATGCAGGCCTGCCGAATGGAACATTTTGAAAAGGCCGTCTTGCGAAGCCCAGCCATGGACATGACGAAAGTTCTCCAACTCGTCAATGGTCATGACCGGTATCAGCTCATTCCACGTGAGCCCCGTGTGTCTAGTGCCAACAGCACTCGTCCACTCGCACCCGAAGTTGCCCAAGCTGGCATCGAAATCCTCTTTCGCCGGCAAGCTCCACTCCACACTCATGTTCTCCAAGCTTGACGGCTGGAATTCCAGCCGTAGCCGGTCGTCAAGACTATCAAGGCTCACCTTGACTTTTTCAACCTGATCGTACGGAGCCTGGATTAGAGGCTTGTTGACTGCGTACACGTACGGTGAAGCGCCTGGCCCAAGCCGCGTCCGCAAACAAGCGAAACCGAGAGCTCTGGCGAGATCGCTTTTGGATTCATCCGCCGGAGGGCTTGTCCCGGTGATCTTTGCCATAGCTGCTAGGACTCTTTCCTTGGGCGTCTCGCGCACTAGCTGCTCCAACTTGCACGACAAATCGCTTACATCGAGCTCCTCGAAGCCGTCCTCCTTGGAGAAATCTATGACGTCGCCACTTTCCACGGAGAGAGCATGAACGCTCCCGTCGGCACGCTTCACGAATACGAGGACCATGATTGTCTCTTTTCCGCCTCTTTAGCAAAACGTACTCCTCGTGCTGATAGCTTGGGCCCCGAAAGTGGCGCGGGGAGCTTAGGGTTTAGGAGTTTCGGACCCAGGGGCTTGTTATTTGGGGTTTTGGGTCTAGGGTCTGCAACTACAAGGACTCGCATCGTATCCGGCGGAGAGATCCTAAACCCTAAACCTCGTGCTTAGGTTTAGGGTTTAGGGTTTAGGGTTAGGGTTTAGGATTTAGGCTTAAAGATCCCTGTTGTGCACCCTGCGACCTGGCAAGGGTTCGCGCACTTGAAGATGCACGAATCTACGCGGAGTTC